TGGTGGCCGGGAGCGGCCACTGCACTCCAGTCTGAGCGACAGAGTGAGACTCCAACTCAAAAAAAAAAAAGCATTCATTCAGCGCCTAACTGGTGCTAGGCGTGCTCACAGGACTGGCCCCAGGAAGGTGCTTAATAAATGATTCTGAATCCAGAGCCTCTGTGTGAGGTTGATCAGGCGGTTCACTGCACAAGAGCTGCCCTTGCCCTGCTCCCAATACACACACACCTCCAAGAGGCCTGAAGAAAGAGGCCGTGATGAGATCAGGCTAGGACCTGGAAGCTGAGACGGGAGACCCTCCAGTCTCAGCTGATAGTGCAGGGCCCCAGCAACAGGATTATGTCTAGGCGTACAGCTCAGAGACCCCCAGAAGCCATCAGTCAGGACTAGTGGCCAATGGACTCCAGCCAGGACCCCTCTCTCTGCCTGCCTGCTCACCCCATCAGTGGCTCTGGGCTGGGCTGGTACTGCAAGGGGGCAGGCGGGCAGCCCGACTCCTCTTCCCCGTCACCGACCCGTGGCTCCGCTGGCCCTGCCTAGGCCCCTTTCCCTGTGAGGACTCCCCTGCCTGGTGGGCACCCCCACCTCTGCCCCTGATCTCTGGCAGGGCCACAAGAGAACCAGACATGGGCTCAGGGCAGCAGAGCAGGCTGGGCTATGCCTACACAGGGAAGGGGCCTCAGTGGCGGCGGCAGGCCTGGCGGGCCTGTGGGGTGACCTCCTTGGTGTCTGTGGTCGGGCAGGGGTGAGGACGGTGCAACGGGGGGGCTCACCTTGGCCTTGCGCAGCAGCTGCTGGAACTCGGGCTGCGGCAAGAGGCCGTGGTTCTTCACGAAGGCTGGCACCTCTGGGGGCCGCTGGCTCTCATAGTACACGGTGCCGTGGATCTCCATGTACTTGTTCAGGATGGCCAGGAACTTCCCCTTCCCCTGGAAGAGGCAGAGGAGGAGCTGGGAGCCTCCACCCGACCCTGGAAGGCAGGGTCGCAGAGGAGACGCCCTGGGGCTGGAAGCAGAAGCTGTGGGGCTGGTCTCAGGCTGTGGGACCCTGGCCAGGCCCCTCTCCTCCCTGGGCCTCCATTCCTTCACTCATGGGTTGTGGAGGTTAGACTAGAGCAGAGACTTTGGGTTTACTTTTAGCCATGGAACTGCTTTCCTTCCAAAGGAAACCCATAGGACCGAGATTTGAATGGATCCAAGGGGAGCCACTTGGCCTCTCCTGAACCCCTGATGACCTCCAGCACCTCTGAGGAACTGTGGACCTCTCTGGAGCCTGCATCATCCATCCTTCTCTCCCTCATCCATCCATCCATTCACCCGTCCCTTCATTCCTCCACTTATCCACACATCCCATCCATCCATATGTATATTTATACATCCCTCTGCCAACCCACCCATCCCACCCTCCATCCATCCATCCATCCATCCATCCATCCATCCATCCACCCATCTATCCACCTATCCATCCACCCACCCATCCACCCAAC